TCTCATCTTTTTAAGTGGGAGAACTTGCACAATTGGTGGCTGACTAAATACTTTTTTGCCCCACTGTATATATATATATATATATATATATATTAAATTCCAAAACCCAAAAAGCAAAATTCAAACAAAAATTATTTCAAAGAGATAAAAGGACAGAGAGAGGAGTGACAGGAAGAAATAGAGGGACAGAGGCATTATTTACCCCGCTCTAGCTTCACGTCTGAGGCCCGTGAAAGGAAGGAACAATGAAAAGAGATGGGGGACAAAAGTATAGTTATGGAAAAAGAGGGATGGTGAGTTGACGGCAAACAGACGGCATGGAATGAAAAGGGAATTATTCATAGCCAATATCATAATCAGTTTATGGACATCATATTAGACTAGATTATTAAATTTGGAGATGGTAAGACTGTATGACAATATGGTTACAATTAATTTATTCAACTGATATATTTGTTTAACAAATGATGTGCATTTCCATGTTAGAATGACCAAACATGTATGATTACAGATGGATGACTGAATACTTGCTGTATTTCATTTTGGCCTTAAATTTTGGAGCCAAACAAGACATTCTACACGTTAATGCATTCAACAATCTCTATATGCTATAGTTACTCTATACTTGCAAAATCACATTTGATAGGACTTAACTGATCTTCCTTTCAACAATATATTGGTATTATTCTTGATGAAAAAAAGATTCTAGATCGTTCATATTACTTACTTGTTCCCTCCTCTGACACCATACCTAGACCCTCTGCTTTATTCTGCCTCTCAAAGGCGTTCAGGTCCAAAACACTGCAAAAGAGGTTAAAAGATTTAATGAATTGTTTAACTAATATGAATGCGAGGTGACAACAGCTCCCAGTCAGAATATACCTGCAGGTCTGCATTAGAGCCTGGACACTGAGGAAGAAACCCACATCTTTCTTGTCTTTTAGATAGTCCAGCATTTTCTGCAAGCAAATTACCAATGCCGTTACATCTCAGCATTAGTTTAGGGTCTAATTCACTGTCATGCCTCCATGATGCAGATGACTTTGATCTAACCTGTTGGACCTCACTGTTCCCACCATTTAGAATGGAAATACCAAGTTTTAGGGTGGAAGAGACCATGCAACCAGTCTCACCTGTACAAAAAAAAAAAAAGATTTTAAAAAGAATGGAGACCAAAGAGCTCAAAAAAAGAGACATGGAAAGAGGTGAACATTTACCCTTGCAGGCGCTAATCATCTGAAGGACCATCTCAGCAGCCCCTCTGTTGTGGAGACGTGACTGTTGGTAGAGGAGTCTTTGCTTTTCCATCTCTTTCTCCTATAGGGTTAAACATGGCAAAATTGAACCATCTGAAAGCCTTAACATTTCTCCTTTCTTACAATCTGTTTTTTCTGCTCAATCTCCCTGTCCCTCTAATTGAACTACAGCCATCTAACAATAACACTAAAATCATCTTTCTTTATAAGCAATAACGTTAATTTTCTATCTAATTTACTACTTGTCATTTTTAATAGTCTCATCTTATGGGCGATGGAAAAAAATGTAGACATACATCAAAGAAAAAAAAATAGGATTTTCAATCTAATTGGGTATTTCTAATTTTAGAAGCTGCTTTTTACTGAGACTATGACATAGGGCAGCAGTGAGAATATTAAGTTATTGTCATGGCAACCCAAAACACTGTTTGAGGCTTTCATCAAGTCAACCACAAACACTGCTAACGTTTACAACTTTCCTTTTCAGCAGTATCATCAATTCTTTACAGCGATTTTCTCAAATGTTTGTCTAAACATCTTATGCAACACAAAGTGAACATTTATTTATTTGAGTTAAAATGTGATTATAACGGTGTTAAGGCAAGATCAGGTTATTGTGAGTGCTTGTAAATGATTTGGGCCTTGCTGATGTGATTATTATTTTTATATTCGAAAATTCTCTTCTCTTTCAGTCATTTTCATTTAGCATGCTCCCATCATCCTCATTAGTTTTGGGACAGTCATTCTAATTTCTCACGTTTGTCTATCAGAGCAAGCGTTGGACTACAGTAAACTCTCCTGATGGCTTTGCATCTTACAGAGAAACAAAGAACCATGCAGGTGTTACTCATCTACAGCTCTGTCTCCTGGAATGTGAACGGTAAACTCAGGAAAGTGCTTCTGTAGAATATTCGTAACCCTTAACCCAGCAACATCTAACATAATTTTATTTGGAAATAAACTGGAATTGTAATTATAGTTTATCTTTAGCAAATACAATTCCATAACAATGTTATCATTAACAGATAATAAAAGCAAGCTTTTTTATTACAGACATATGTAAACAGTACTGCAAAGAGAAAAATTTAAACGCAATTACAAATGGTGGTTTACTTACATAAGCTCGCTTTGCCAAAAATTGTATAAATCATAAAGCGTATACGTTTATAATTACTGCATGCATAATACAGTACACCCCCCGCCCAAACCTCCCATCCCACCCATGCCACCCCCCTCCCGTGTAAGCCTGATCTAAGTAAGCACCCAAAAGTGTGGAATATATGGAGCATTTCTTCTTCCTATGTCTATACATATATGCTCAGCCTGACTGAGTGTGCGTGTGTGTGTATGTGTATGGCGTGCACAATCCACTTCGTTATAGGTCCATCTGTGTGTTTGTTCCTCTGTGTGTGTGTGCAGACTAGGAGACTGCTCTGGCTTTAACTGTAGTCTGTGTGTCAGTATACTATGTCAGTAATATTGAGAAAACAGTGATTAGTCACTTTCACATGATTATTGTGAATGAGTTAAAGGAAATCAAGGTAAGAATAGAAAGCACACAGAAACAATATGACAAATACGTTATCATTAGTTATTGCTCAAAGTAAAACAGCATATAGAAGTAAATGCACGTTCATTTACAAATCAATCTTATAGCTCATAGCAAGAAAATTATAAAAAACAATTCAACAAATGATTAAAAAGAAACAATGAGGATATAGCTTCTTTTGGACATCAAAGCTGCAACAGGTGAATTTTCACACACTGAGGTCTCAAAATTGCCTCATGAAATTATAACATTATACTGTATAATTTCGTTTTTTATAATTTTAGCATTATATGACTTAAAAGCTTCATGGCCAATCAATGCAATTTGTTGAGCAATTTTGTCATTTTTGCGACATATTAGAAAATTGTCACATGTTGCAGCTTTAGGTTATCCAAACACTGAATGGTACAATAAAAAGCATAAAAAATCTCCTTGAGCATAAACTACTAAACACATCAGAATAATGATGCTCTTTTGGTATAAAATATAAGTTACTGTTTTTGATGTTTCATTTATTGTATTTAAATGTATTCAGATATTTTTGTACAATTAATATCTGTGTTTAGTAGGTGGCTCAAAAAGCATAAAAAATCTCCTTGAGCATAAACTACTAAACACATCAGAATAATGATGCTCTTTTGGTATAAAATATAAGTTACTGTTTTTGACGTTTCATTTATTGTATTTAAATGTATTCAGATATTTTTGTACAATTAATATCTGTGTTTAGTAGGTGGCTCAAAGTTTAATATCAATTGTAAAAAAAGAAACATGTTAAAGATGATGCAGTGTAATGTGATAAAACATATTAGATGGAGTCAGATGGAGAGACAGAGAGCACAGCCTGGACAAAGAGACATAAAATGGGATGTGAGTGAATGGATGGATGGATGATACAGTGGTTGGTTTGGATGTCACTCGGGTCTACCACTTCTGTGTCTTCCCCGTCCCCAGCCCCCGGACTCCCCCTACCATCTCTGTCTGTCGCACCTCAAAGGGCATCTCCTCCTCTCCCCCCTCTTCCTCCTCCTCGCCCCCCTCATCCTCTTCACCCATGTGGCAACTCTAAATTCACCAGAGATGGACACAAAGAATGTTACACAGCATGAGATCCTGTGATGAAACCTTCTATGTATTTAAAAACAATTTAATTTTTTTTTAAATCAAATAGAAAAATGGCTTGACTGAAATGGAGAAAAGTTACAAGTTACAGTAAAGTAACAATATTTTAAAGATATAAAATAAATTACTAAATTGGTGATGATTGTTAACCATAAGACAGAGAGGTCTCACCTTAGCCATGATATCAGCATATGCCATGTATAAGTAATCTATATCCAGTTTACTGTGACAGAGCAGAATCAGGGAACAAAATAATTTAAGGAAATAAAAGACGCAAAAACATGCCTACATTTTAAATCCTAATTTATCGTAAAGTTGCTTTCTTTGTTAATTATAAAAACCATATAATTTTTAGATTAGAAATACATATTTAGAAATATAATTTTTAGATCATAATATGTGGTCACATTTCTTCGTATAATGATGGTTAAACTGTATAATTGACTGTTGCATTACTTATAAACACTGTACATTATAGAGTACTTCTAACCCTATTCATTACATATCTGTAAATTGTTTTTATTTTGTAATGGATGATTACATAACTTCACCAAAAGACCATGTGAACAACCTGAATAGTCACTGGTAATATAAAGAGGGTCTCACCTCTTCTCGGTGAGGGCTGTGCGACTAAAGTGAAGTATGAGCTGATGAAGAGGGTCTGGCTTTTTCTCCTTTTCTTCTTCCTCCTCTTCTTCTTCCTCCATTGCTTTCTATGTCATTGAGAAAAATAAATCTGTTACTAAATTTGTCTACAGGGAAAAACAAAGTTAACAGGAAATATACTCCACTCAATTTCTTTCACACTAAAATGCATCAGTTATTTTTGTTAATTTGGGAGCACATACAGACAGGTCATCAATCATTCTATCCTCAAAGGAATATCCTTCGGTTTGGATCCAGTTTCGCTTGTACCCATCCAGGAACATGTTACATGCTCTGTGCCTGAAAGAGAGACAATACACATTTATATATCTTCTCTAATCCACCATTATCTCTTTTATTCATTCTATGAATCAGACCGACTAGTGCAGAAACATGTATGCATGTTGTATGATTGTGACCTGTCCTGTCTCACCTGGGCAGGTTGTAAAGTGGAGTCATCCTAAAACAGGCCACCACTGCTCTACGTCGTTGCTTTGACAGCAGTTTATGCCAAACCATCTTTTTGGACTTGAAAGGGTGCTCAGTCTGTAAAAAAAATAACTATCTTAGGCCGTTTTCAGATTTTAAACCACATATGGAATGGATATTATGTTGTCTAGACTACAAACAGCTGAAGCAATTTGAGTTGGATACTGAAATATAGTGGCAGTGTGGGTGAGTGGTCACCAAAGTGTGCATTACTTGCATTGTACTAGGAGTTTCAGACCTTGGAATTCAAACTCACCACTTCAATATGGTAGAGAACTGCAGAGACCTCTTGAACCCGCGTCACAACTTTCTCTGGGGCATCTGCATCTTCTGCCTTTCCTGCCATTTCCTTATACAGTGCCATCTGCCAGCGCATAGACGGGTTATCAACCTGAGGAGAGAGATAGCACTCAAATTTCTGCAAAAACACTTTTTAAAAAGACTTTAACATCAGACATACACTCACCTTGCCCTGGAGGTGCAGGTTATTTTGCAAGAACTCTCTGACCTCCTCATTTGTGTCTTTCTATGGGTCAAAGACACAGCAGACATGCTTCAGTTTACCCGTTTAGTGGCCAACCTAAAGTTTTCATGTAAAACTTTATTAAAACATCCTAAGACAGACAGACAAATAGATGGGACCACACTACCAAAGAATAGCGTGTCTTGGCCAGGTTAATGAGCTCCTGGTCTGCAGGAGAGCACATGTTTAGTCCAATGGGAAGAATTTTCTTCAGGGCCGCCACAATGAGGGATGTTTGAACAGAGTATCGATCTCCCCGTCTCTTTTTCTTGGTACGCTCCACATCGGTGCCACCAGCCTGAGATGACAGTAACATTCAAAGCATGACAGCTGACATAGACATCATGAAATTACTTTCAATGAAACCTTAGCATCTTGTGAAACGATTTTCATATTGAATGATGTGCTAACAGAGTCTGTTGACCACAAAATGGACGTCCACCTCAAAAGTGTACCATCATTTTATTGAGCAAAATCCAAAGCTTCCTGTTCCCTCACCAGGACCTAGACAACTAAACAGACCAATCCATCCTTACTTGAAGGCATTATTTCAGTCATTAGATTTTATTTTTTAAGTTAGGACTTCTTTAGAGAACAGTCCTTAGAAATTAGTCATTCTGATTAATAGGTTCATTAAGAGGGAAGGAAGGGTAAATGTTCAGGGTTGCTTTTTATCAAAATAGACAACAACAGTGGGGCTTAGTGGGGAAGACAATTTGTAGTAGGTCTGAAGCTGAAATCTCAATACTACTGTAACTTAACAGAGGTGACAGCATCAAAAGGGGCAAAAATCATTCAACTGCAACATCATCTTAGCTCAGACACATAATAGAAGCAGGCACTACAGGTTGGCCGGTGCTGTAACGTGTCAGTGCAGTTTAATACACTCTATGCACTGAAAAGGTCTGCAAGGACATGCACAGTCATAACATGCTCAGCCTCAGTGGGTGGAGGAGGAACTGCAATCCCACACTCAGTAACAATAACAAACACATTCAGTGGAGTTAATTATAAAACTAAGGGGAAACGATTGCTTTTGACTCATTTTGGGTTGCCAACCTTAAAGAAACCCAACCCATAGAGACAAAGGAAATTATTTCTGTAATCTTGATCACACGCGTCCTGTTTGCACCAGTTTTGCCCCTCCAAACCAACACACTCTCAGTTTTAGAAACTGGGCCTCATTTAGGAAACGAGCAAAATACATTTTATGTAACGGATTTGAATGCAACAATTAAGTAAGAAAGGTTTTAGACAAATTGCATATGCTTCATTAATGAGACCCATTGTGTGTGAGAGAGAATAAACTGTAGTTGTTTGAATCTGAATTTGAGTATTGATCTTACTCGTAAAGCCTGACTTTTTTTAATGGAACAGTTCACTGAACCTTTAGACAAATATTTTAAAAAATGTGTCTGCATATGTGTTTTGCGGAGTATCCTTTATTTATTATGTCAGGCTGTTCTGCCCTTTGTATCAAACACCTTGCTTGATTTGGCAATCAGAAAACGCCTCCCAAAGACAACAGAGTTGAGGAATCATCTCTTAGCGTTACTATTGAACATGGAATAACGTAAAACGAATGTGCCTTCGGATCAACTTAAATCAAGGAACAATAACAGCCACATGCTCTTCCCTGTTACTGTACACTCTTAAAAATAAAGGTGCTTCAAAAGGTTCTTCAAGCGATGCCATAGAAGAACCATTTTTGGTTCCACAAAGAACTATTCAGTCAAAGGTTCTTTAAAGAACCATCTCTTTCTTACCTTTTTATAATCTGAAGAACCATTTTTCACCACAAAGAACCTTTTGTGAAACAAAGGTTCTTCAGATGTTAAAGGTTCTTTATGGAACCATTTAGACAAAAAGGTTCTTCTATGGCATCGTGAAGCACCTTTATTTTTAAGAGTGTACTGCTGAAACCCTTGCTCACACTTGTGATGACATCATATAAGGACCCAACAACATTATATGCAGTACTTAACCTTGAACAGCGGGGGGCACTAACTTAACTGGAACTTTTATTAGACTAAACGCAGAGTGTTTATAGAACAGCACACAGGCTTTTATGGTTCATACAGTATGATACAGCATACAGAGCTCAAACTAAAATAGGAAAAAACACCTCACTTTTATTCAGAGGCCCAGTCTGAGCAAAAAATGAGATGGTCTTTATACTTACATGGAATGGCATTTATATGGTCAAAACATCAGATGAAATTCTGATAGATTCCAGCTATCACTGGATATGTCCTAATAATATGTATTCTTAGTAAGATTATATTTAAATGCTTAGGTTTATGATGCAAAATCAGTTGTTTTAATTGTTAAAAAAATCCAATCCAATGATGCCTGAGAAATGGACAAATAACAGTTTCTCAAAAGCCTGATATATAGGGTTTAATATTTACATTTTAACATGATTTAACATGATTCTTGTTTACTTTATAAAAAATGAGTAAAGTTTTCACAGCAAAAAAAAACAATCCATGATCTGAAGGTGATCATTTATAGAATTACACTAAAAGGTCTTTTACTTGTTAAAAAAAATATCCACCTTATTTTTCAACGCAAAAGTATGCAGTTTTCTGTGAATGTGCGAGACTTACGGTTCATTAGCCACTGTAGGGAAATAATGAGAAGAATAACAGTGCAGTAAAGGGGAAAACTGTTTACACTACAAACCAGTGTGTTCATAAGACAATATTAAAATAATACGGTAAGAAACACCAGTTTGCAATATCAAGCAGCAAAACAAGCTGTTTTATACAGCTAAAAATAGCTGGAAGCGGATGAGACCGGAAGCTAAACCCATAAAATGTACAAATGGCCACATTCACTCTAACGGGAAAAAAAGGAGGGTAATACAGTAAACTTTAGGGTTACGACCATTAAAAATCATAATAAACATGGCCTTTGTGTGGGTCTCATAACTTGGACCAACACCTCTTTGTCTGGGTCTTAAGGGCTCTGGTATTGGTCAGGATTTGGCTCTTATATTCATTTCAACCCTGGTCTGAATAAATCCATCTATTCTGTAATTTGAGCTGTAGACCACTATGTTAATGCAACTGAACAATTAAAGCCAAGTTTTAGAGGTTACATTAGTTCTAAAGTGTGCAAATGTAATCCCTTTTTCCACAATCCCACCTCAATCATTTTCTTTTGATTGCATCAGGGGTCATGGGTTAAAAGGGGTGGATGGGGAGACAAAAATGGAACAATATGGAGATGTGAGCCATTGGGTATAAGTACGGCAGCAATTCCAGTTAAGGGGGGGATTAAGTAGGCACACATTAAAGGATGGACTCTAACTGCCCCCTTTTGTCAAGGAGGATGTATGACGAAATATACATTAATTGAGGTCAAATTCTTTCACATGAATCCAGTTTAGGAAATGAACTGAAATACAGTTTGAATCATTTGATGTATGCATTTCTGTCTCAGTTGACTTCCTGAACAGATTAAATATTGACCCCAACCTGCAGCCATTATACAAAAAGAAAAGGAAGATAAGAGATGTATGAAGATCCCCATCCGAACTACAGTCCAACAGATGCAAACTGCTGTACAGGGTGATGGCACAGGCCTCCAGGGGCTCAGACCCTCTGCGACGGACATGGAATCAAGTGCCATGAGCCTCTACAAAGAGTTCTTTCATCAAACGCCTCCATTCAGACTCCCCCCCTCACACACTGGCAGGACGACAGGCACCCTGTGGCCCTTGTGTCTGTGGGGATGGGATGTTTCTTGAAACTGAGAGGGCCTATCTTTTCATCTGCATCATAGTAGCCATTTTACCCATAATTCTACTTATAATAAAATTATTATATTCTCTCAAATTCACATGTTCAATTCTGTATCTCTTAGAAATCCAATCCATTAGGAGTACTACCATTTTGGGGGAAAAACAACAACCATTATGCTATCTAGCATGAAATCTATCCACAAATGCAGCATGTAATGGAGAGTGTGAGACACTAGTCTGGTCAAACAGTTGAGAAGTCACTGTTATGCGTGTATAGAGTGTGCCAGTGTGTTGGGGGGGGTTGATGAAATGCCCCCCCAGATGTGAGGTGCCATGCGGTAGCACAGCAGTCGTGCAGTCAGAGAAGCTAACCTCAGAGTCCCCGGTCTAGAAACCCACCAGCATCCAGATGAGAAAAAGAGGACAGGGTACAGTCAGAGAGAGAACACCATTAACACTGTGATCTAAATCCTGTAAAACGCATCCGAAAAGCACTTGTCTTTGTGACAGCAAGAATAAACGCAACGTCTTCAGAAAACGCATGAAAGCACAGCATACTTTACCTTTGATGTGGAGCTCGATGCCAAACAACCATTCACTTTTGGTTTATTAACTATTTTTAAAAATCGCAGCATTTACATTCACGGCATTAACAACCAGTGTTGTTATTGTTAACAAATGACTGAAGATTGTTTTTGGTAACTGACATAGTACAGGATGAAATTAGTCTCAAATTTACTAACAACAATAACATAACATTAAATAAAATATAAATATTAGTTGAAAACTTAACTTAAATTTTAGAAATGCTGCCTTGGCAACTACATGAAATAAGTTTAAACTGATGTAATAAAACTGAAATAAAAATAAAGCTAAATAGATATGTTTAGCTTTATTAATTTTGTATTCATTAAAATTTTTTTTTTTTTAAATAACTACTAAAACCTAAACTAAAATTAAAATGAAAACTAAAAATATAGAAAAGGCAACTTCAAAATATTAATAAATACAATATAGAAATAATTCTAAAGTAACACTTACAACAAAACTATTATGCAAATGTGATGAATGAATGAATGTATAATTGTCAAAAAACTAATATAGATGTATGAATTCACTCAATAAAAAAAATACTCTGACCACATGATAATCAAATATCGAAGTAAATCGTTAGTCAAATATGAAAGTCTATGTCCCATTGCTTGCACATCTCAAAGGGCCTCACCTTGCTCATCTTGCTCTTACTGTCAGCAGTGAGAAAGGACATATTGTTAATTTCATTCATCACCACAAAGTTTTGCTCCTCTCGCTTGAAATTCTGCAGAGAGAATGAGAAGATCAGTGAGGTACACAGAATTGTAGATCGTTGCGTTCGAATGTCATATACTGTGGCTTCAATTAAAGTATTTATCATGTATGCTGATACTGCGAGTTGTGATGAGTCAGACATTTGTCTCTTACATGAGATTTGGACCAGAAGATGAAGACCTCTCCCACCATGCGGAACAGCTCCTCAGCATCTGGGTCCCGGCACGTCAGCCATCTTGCTCTAAAACCCATGCGACATTTAAAATGTCAAGAGAGCTAAAAATGAATCCATTAAAAAACAAAAAAACCTACACAGGAACCACAAAATACCTGTTGTTATCCACATAGCGGATGAGAAGAGGGTACAGCGCATATAGGTCTCTACAGAGAACTGCAAATTCATCTCTAATAGTGCCTTCCTCCTCGTCCCCCTCAGACTTCCCCTCCATACGCAGGTGCTCCTCCTCAGCCACTACTTTAGCTGTACGCTTCTTCAGCTTCTCCATGGTGGGAATGAAATGGGATTTGAGCATCTCTGCTTTGGCTCGGCTCACAATAGGCTGGGAGAACACTGGATCGAGACAAGGATATTATGTTGAAGATCAGGTACTGAACCTAAAATACAAACACAGACTTGAGAATCAAAACCTCTCGTACCTGCAAGCCTCTTCATCCAGGAAGCTTCGTCAATTCCCAAGTTGTTGACCACAATTTTCATGATACTTCCCAGAAGCTGGTTGAGATGATCGGAGGTGACGTCTGTACACAACTTACCCTCCAATTCGGGAAAGATCTCCACTCCTCTCTCCCACCAGCGGGGCAGATAGTTACACAGCATGGGCAGGGTGACCTCGATCACATGAGGCATTTCAGTGTAGCGAGCCCCCGATTCAGCCAGGTCCCCAATCTCTTTCAATAATATGTCTAGCTCAGGAATGTCACACAGCTCATGGACATGGTTCGGAAGGCCCAGGACTGTCGATTAAAGGAAGAATAAAAGTCAGAAACAAATACAGAAATGGATATATATATTACCATTCAAAAGTTTGGTGTCATAAGATTTGTAAATGTTTTTGAGCAGTCCCTCGTGTTCATCAAGGCTGCATTTTATTTAAATATAAATACAGTAAAAACAATAATATTGTGAAATATTATTACAATTTAAAATTACATTTTAAAATTTATTTTATTCCTGTGATGTAAAAGCTGAATTTTCAGCAGCCATTACTCCAGTCTTAAGTGTCACATGATCCTTCAGAAATCATCTGATATCTGAATTTGGTGCTCAAGAAACATTTCGTATTATCATCAATATTGAAAACAGTTGTGCTGCCTAATATTTTTTGTGGAAACTGAATTTTTCCCCCCCAGAATTCTTTGATGAATAGAGTTCTTAAGAATAGCATTTATTTGAAAATTCTTCTGTAACATTCCAAGTTGTATCATCGGTAGTGTAGCTGCAAAGAGAGGACTTACTTGCTCTTTCTCTAGGTGTCTTGGTAGTGTACACTGAAAACGCATTGTATTCATTAAGATGGGGCTCCAGGTAGGCCACAGGCATGGCTGCAGCGAGATGAGCAAGACATTCTCCAAGGGCTGGTCTATGTCTAATGTAAATATAGAGGAAAGTTATAGAAACCTCAACCACAGTCACATCACATACAGACTTATACACACACACACACACACACACACACACAAATACACTCTTAACAAACCTCTCTGCATGAGGTGTTTTTACAGTTCCAGAAGAGTAGATACTACACGTGATTCGATAACAGGACATCTGCAAATCGTCCACTAACAGAAACAAAAAGAGACAGGTTAATTTAACTACATTTTAAACTATTAAAAACATACTGTATTTATGTATTTCAGTTTTCAAAAAAAGTCCTTACGGATAACATCATCTCCAAATTGGTGTTGAGCGATGTGGTCAAACAGTGAAGTGAGGACAGGGAGCAGAGCTGTTGTGGTGTAGTTAATATTCTGGGATACACCTTTAACCGGCTGAGAGATAAAAAACAAAAATAATCGTGCCATGCAAAAACAATGCAGCAAATTATCTTTGTCATATACAGTAAGCATTACTCAAGCTGTACCTGATTGCCTTTGGACACTTTGCCGAGTTTGAGGTTCTCCACCATCTTTTCAATGTCATCAGCTGCACTCTCAAAGAACAAACGCAGTCCTGCTTTTACGATCTCAGGTCCAGATTTCATCACAGTTCTGTTAACGTCAGAGAAATAAAAATAAAATAAAACTGCAACATTTATGCAAAATGCACAAACTTCAAAATTCATTTCAGTGACTTACCTGGCATCAAGTGACCGTGCAAGGATATGAAGGCAGTTGACAATAGCAGGTGCATCCGTACCTGTGCATCACAAATATATGGTATTACATCAAGGACAGAAATTCTGTTTTTTTTTTTAGACCCATAGGTAAAGCAAATTAGATGCTCTACTTATTTAGTTGATGGAGAGCAACGCAAAAAGAAAGCAAAGCAGTAAGAAAACAGAAAGGAAAAGTGATGGAAGACAGCAGAGTAGATATCTTACCAAAGAGAAACACTCTGTGTCGCACCAGGGCAGACATCTTACAGAAGATGCTGACACCAAATAAAAGGAAACCAAAGGAACATGATGAATAAATGAGAGAAAAAAGGAAAAGAAGGCAGCGAGAAGAACACTGGGTGAAATAAACATAATAAAATACATGAGGTAAGAAGATTTGGACTTGTATTTGCCATAAACATCTGGTAAAGTGTCTGCAAGTGTGTTGTTACCTTGCAATCATCTCTTTTTCCTTGTTGGAGGCATGTCCGCCACTGCCCAGGATTTTGGCAGGTGTGGAAAGGAAGTAGAGGCAGTGATTTTTAAAATATTGATTTATTAAAGGCAAAAGAATCTGAGGACGACATAAAAAAAAATTAAAAAAAAATCACAAATTATTCACAGTCCTGTGCTAATGTTCAGATGCTGAAAGACATTTTGGGCGTACAGACCACGAGAGCCTGACCTTGGCGAAGAACTTTATCTCTTGTTCGTGTGGCGACTTTTCCACACGGCCGCTGCTCACAACAGCCTCTGTAAACACAAATGTTACACAAAATTTAGTTTATTTCAATTATTCCATTAATTAATGCAATAAGGATAAAGAAAGTAGTACCAAGATGGGCTATGAATTCCTGGGCAATATCCATCCACTTTAGCAGCTTCTGTAGGAAGCCATATGCAAAGCGCTTCTCAATAGAGGAAATGTCACTTTCCATATCTTTGAGCCCTCTGGACAGAGAGATTTTAGACAATCAGAATTATAGCAATTACAATATTTTGGCGTATATATGGGTTTCAGAGGCTCCTGTACCTTGTCACAGCATATCCATTCAGCTGGAGAAACTTGAGCAGCTCATATGACTTCTCTCTATCTCGAGCCTTTTCTTTAGCCGTCAGTGTGTCATAAGGTACTAGCAACGGGTGTGTGCCGCCCCCTAATTCAAAAAGAGAGATGTGGACAAACTAAAAAGAGCTGCAACTAAAATACAAATTATAATAATAATAATACTGCAGCAAAACAATTTAAAAAATGTTTACTGATGAGACATTGGAGAAATGCAAACCTTTTGCTTGTAATTCCATTTTCTTTTTGCGCCCCCAGGTGTTGTGGTAGTTTTCTGCAAGCTGCTCTGCCATGGACTAGAACACGTAGTGTGTGGTTAGCCATGATGCTTTCTATTGTATTAAATGTTGATACTGAACTAAATGGGAATGTGCATTAGCACTGTGTACCTGTAGCTCTCTGGAAAGTGTCATGCCTGAGATATCAATGGGCTGAGGGCTGTAGCCATGACTGGGGTCATAAGTCGCCTATGAAAATAAATTAATTATAATATCATGCTTATATGATAGTATGCAGCTAGTATTTGGTTAGTATCTCAAGATATTTTTCCACTCTGTCCTTACCTGTGCAGTCTGTGAGATCTTACGAGCTGTCTTCTTTTCTGTTTTCTCATCATCTCCATCTCTGGCTTTGTCCAGCGTCCACTCCCACGCAATCATGGCCTTGATGGACTCTTTAATGGGCCAGCGGTAGATTTCTTTATCCTAATGCAAACATTATGTAATTAAAATATATGAAATAAGGCTCTTGCAATAAACAAAAAGAGCACTATGAAGTCTGAGAGAGAGTCAAATATCCCGTTGTGTGTCTTGCTTTGGACTTTTATGTTGAAAATTTGGCTAGTTTTAATGCCTTTCCTAGCTGTCTGTTTGCAGTGTCTTTATTGATTTATTCATTGATTTAGGTATTATTGTCTTATTAAGTGTTTAATTGGTGTTATCAGCATTGGTTCTTGTTTTGTTTAATGTTTTTTTCTGGTTCTAATATATGCTTTTGGTTTATCGTTGTTAAATTTGTTTATTCTGCACTTGGCTTTAGTGTTTACTTGTTTCTAAGTTCACCATAGTGACAGAGAGAGTGAAAATCTAATATTATATGTATGATGTCTGTTACCTTTTCAGAGAACGTTTTGTAAGGCCTGAGCATGGGATGAGTCTTGGCATTTTCATCCAGCACCTCACCAAAAGTCCAGTTGTTTTGAATCTGATGGATTATAAGGCACTGGTAAGACTCTTACACAAATAAGTAAATAAACGAATAAATCAGAAACTAACCACCTAGGAACCACTCTTAACCTACTACCAACTATCTAGCAGCACCCTTGCAACCTACAGACCCCTAGCAATGAGTTACAAAAAAATAAAATAAATAAATACATAAGTTAACAAATAATAAAATGCATACCTTTTCAAAAGCCCATTTATCGTGTGTGTATTCTGCATATCTGTTGATGAAACCGTCCAGCTTCTCTGGAATGATAGTGCTATAAGAAGAGAACATTAAAACGGCTTAAGTAATCAAATATTTGACTTTTTGTTCATTTTATTTATCACGCTTGACAGAATAATTTAATAATTAAACGTACTTGGTCGTATCCACAGGTTTTGGATCAAAGTTGCCCTCAGCATCGACAGAGGCCTTTTTCTCTGTTTTGGAGGAGTAACTGGCATCCACATAATCAGGAGGAATCGCTCCAGCAATCGCACATATACATGGCATGGCAATTTTAAATAGCTCTGCATCAAATTTCTGTTGTAGACACAAATTATAAAAGCTACAATGTTACTCTGTCTTTTCACTACATATTGGGACAGAATAACACTCTCAAACAGCATCTTTTGTGTTTATTACACAAAAGAGGGTGTATTCCCACCTTGTGGGCTAGAGATTCAAAAATTCCCCAGAAGAGTTTACGGGTCAGATGAAGCTCCTCCTCTGATGATACGCCAAAGTTAGCCCAGCCATTAGGCAAACAATAATACTTCCAACAACGCTCGTAATGATTAGTAAGCAGCTGCAAAATAATCACACAGGTGAGATAACTGTAGAAACAAGTTTAAATGAATAGTACCTACTGAATGTGTAATGAAATAATGCCATACCTTAAGGGGCATTTTAGCATACTCGTTCAGAATCGGCACGTCAAACACCAGCCGCCTGAGGAGGTGCTGGAGCATGGATGGACGCAGGTACCTGTAAAGCAAACATTACATAATAAATCACCATCAAAATTATGCAAATAATGACATCAGCTAAGGCTAAACATGTTTTGAATGCACACTTGTTGTTTTATTACTGTTTGCTGCTGTGCATAACACTCACCTGCACAAAGACATGAGGCATTCCTCAATAACATCCCTCTGAGCTTTGGTTAGAGAGCGTCCTCGGGACAGTCTGTAGATGGTGTGGAGCATGGAGTCGATCATGATGGCACGGTGGTCCGTGCCGGCAAATAAAGGAGCACATTTAGTGATAAGAGGAAGCACGGCGGAGCACAGGTAACGGTTCAGCGCCAGGGCCATTTCGGTAGTGCTGAATGCAGCCTTAGAGAAAGAACAGGATGGTCATTGTGACAGTACTGCAGACAGTTATGTACAGAGAATGTTGCAAGCTAAACTTGAGCCCACATTTCCCATGTGAACACCACAGCTCAATATGTCTCATATTATTTGAATGCAATCACAGACAGCATTTTTGCTTGTGAAGAAAGATACAGTAGGTATCTTACTGTGTCTAAGGAAGCTGCTGCTCTCATGTCAGGCAGGAAGCCCACTTCCAGTACATGCAACAGGAAGTCCTGGTTGTCTATGCCATAAACTCTGTCCAGGAACAGGACCATTGGTGCTTTATGATCAGGCACAAAACTGGCAGACATCTTTGGCTCAATGATGCTGTTATCTGAAATGTAATGGGCAAAACAGGAAGTGTGAGAATGGTACGAATACATGCATCTATCTACAAGCTCTTAACTGATCATTACCTTTTCCAAAAGCAGGTATCTGGAATGGCAAGCTGATCACACCAACCAGATCCTCAATAGGCACCAGAGACCTAAGAATGGCCCTGATTCTCAAAGCCTCACCTTTACCAGCTTGGATCAACTATGCAAAACGGGAAGTGTGAGATGTTCAATTAATCAGATTTATTATCACTCAAACATTAGCATACAAACACACTTACATGCATCTCAGGTGCACAGCGACCCAGCAAATCAATGAGAGCTGAGTAAAAGGACATGATGGCATTTCCCAGGTGCACTCTGTTCTCCTCATGCTGCTCTTCACCTCCAAACCTGACACAACATAAACAAGAAACACTCAAAATCCTCTCTACTACATATTACTGTGAAACCAAACAAGCATCACACTGGGTGACTTTGTCAGGATAAAATTAAGGATAAGATGTCAGGATAAGGGAATTTGCACACACATGGGGAAGCGTCTGTCTTTTTTAACAGTGGGTCCATCTCTTGCAGGATCTTCTGAGATCTTAATGGCCTCTTCAATGGCAGCAAGCAGACCGTTGCCCCCTTCTCCTCTCAGCGCGGGACCAAAACACTCAGGCCTCCTGATCAGCAGTCGGACCACCACATTAGCGTTCTCCTCCACGCTCTCTCCTGAAATGAGAACATTACATATAATGTTGAAAAACAATTCAGTTTAATTTAACTGAATTTAATTTAATTTAGGGATATTAGATGGGATCTGTTTCGGTCCAACAAAACTGCACCATAAATTATTATTATTACCATTATTATGTAGTCATTAAGATTGTCACACTAACAAACAAACCAAGAGTATACAGTATCTAATGTATGCAAACTACACTCCTTTTTCCAGTTACAACCATCATCACATTATAAATACAAACCATTAACGAATACAGCAAAGCGCAGGAAATCCAGATCAGCGCGGGACCAAAACACTCAGGCCTCCTGATCAGCAGTCGGACCACCACATTAGCGTTCTCCTCCACGCTCTCTCCTGAAATGAGAACATTACATATAATGTTGAAAAATAATTCAGTTTAATTTAACTGAATTTAATTTAATTTAGGGATATTAGATGGGATCTGTTTTGGTCCAACAAAACTGCACCATAAATTATTATTATTACCATTATTATGTAGTCATTAAGATTGTCACACTAACAAACAAACCAAGAGTATACAGTATCTAATGTATGCAAACTACACTCCTTTTTCCAGTTACAACCATCATCACATTATAAATACAAACCATTAACGAATACAGCAAAGCGCAGGAAATCCAGATACTTCTCGCCTCCGCAGGGATTCCACCCAATATCTGGGTAACCTTTTGATAAGAGCATGGGGCAACTCTGCAGACCACAACCTGCCAAGTACTTCACCACCTGCATAAACAGAGAAACAAAAAGAGTTTTCTGGCAGCCACAAAAACTGGTCATAAAGTTTTCCGTTTGTACTCTAGGTTGACAGACACACCATCTCCAGGTCTTGCTCTTGGAGGGCCAGGGCAAGTTCGTTATTATCGATACAGGATGCAGCAGCAACATCAAGAGGAGTGGAGCCACGCATTCCTGAAAAAAAACGTTTACTGGTTGACTGATGTGACAATAAATAATAAACATTTATAGCATATAATGAAATTTAAATTAGATTTAAGATTTCCATTTTAACTAGGCTAAACATAAACACACATACTGGAGATGAAAAGGAGAAACAGCTTAAAAAGGTGAGTTTCTCTAAAATCAGACTTTACCCAGGCCAATGCCACTGTTCTGCAGGAGGTAGCCCAGGTGATCAAACATTGAGCGCTGATTTTGTCTGCTGATACGGCAGAAATAACACAGGAAACGACAGCAGTTGGTCACCATTCGAGGGAATCTGATCTCCTGTTCAGAGAAAATGCAAATTATATAAAAAAATCTTTCAAACCAATCAAATGTTTGAACATCGCATTAAAAACTTTTGTTTGTGTCTTTTAAAAACTGCGTACCTTGGAATCTCCACCTCCAAGTACGTTCACCATAACCTCCATGACCGTCTCATGCATCCCCAGAGCTCTCATCAGGTTGGGGTGCTGGTAGAATACCCTGTTGCTCATAATATTTCTGAAAGAGAAAGACACAGCATAGTTGCAACTCCAGCGTGCTGTAAATTCCTGACAGTGTAAGCAGAAGATATCTTTTGCAGTTGCTATTGTTACTTTAAGGGTGCGATCATGCCCTCACCCAATACTTTGGATCATCAGCCTCTCCTCTTCAGGCCCCATCTGTACGATGAGCAGGGAGCGGATCTGTCCCAGACACTCCAGTAGCTCCATTGTGTCTTGCACAGACACTGCATTGATAGTGTAGGCTTTGGGCAATGCTCGGATCAGCTCACCCAGGGCGTCGTACTGTCGGTGTAGCAGACTGAACATGAGCCGCACCAGCTCAGGGTTCTGAATGAAAGACTCCTGAGCCCAGTGGATCATGGTGTGGGAAATCAGCTCCTGCAGAGTACCTGTGACACAAGAGCAAAGGTTCATGTAATTATGGTATGGAAAAAAGGGACTTTGAAGTCTAATACAAAGTAAAAAGGCTTTTACTGGGTTTTTTATCTTCTTCAGGTTCAGGCTCAGCCTCTGGCTTCTTTCGCAAGCTTTTAACTTTCGTCACTAGTCTCAGGAGGCGCCCACGCAGAGAGGTGTCCAACTCCTCTTCCTGCTCGTCCTCTTCAATATGAACCCCTTTAACAGAGGAGAATACATGTGACTCCCTACATCAGGGCTATTCAATTGGCGGCCCGCCAATCATCTTCACCCGGCCCGAGAAAGAGTATGCAGGTCGCACATATGCCTTGAATTGATTTTGCACTAATTAGTTTGTCCACAAGGTGGCAACACTGGCCCAGGCCAGCCGAAAAAGAAAAGGAAGAGACGCAATAACAACAATCTACCGGAGGCCGCAACATCAATAGACGGCAGCGCTTACAAGTGCTTGTGTGAGGGAGTTATGAGATATCCACCACATCTCTAGTGCTATCGGTCATAACTTCTGACGAGTGCTGACACTGGACGAAGATTATTATCAAAGGAAGTAGCCTATAGTTTGAAAGTCTGCGCTTTTAGCGGTACACATATGCTGAGCCGCTTCAGACAAGCAACGCGACAAAGTTCAGAATCCTTCAAATTTATGCAAATGAAGAGCGACTTTCGGGAGCGACAGCCAATAGGAAAGAAGACGGCAGAGCTCATGTGATCGCTCTCCTCTCAGCCGTAGGTAAACATACGCAATGGAAAAAAAGTAGGCTCTTGCCTTGTCCAAATACCCACACTTGCGGTCTTTGCACTTGACTACTACTTATATGACGTATTTCCTGTATTTGGCCCAAGTGTTCAAGTGTGGATGAAGACCACAAGTGTGTGTACAACATTTCATTACCTGATGGGACACACTTATAGTGTTGTAAAAACGCAAGTGTTTACAGAGTTTACATTTTTATTTTCAATACTTTGCATTTTAAAATAAACTTTTAAATGTCTGTTCAGTAGTCCTTTAACAGATGACAATTTAATTTCTGGTGCTTCTAATTAAAGGTGCAATAGGTGATTGTCTTCAGAAACATTTTTTGTTATACTAGTTGAAAGTCTCTTCACATCCCGATAGCAATTATTAAGTTAAGTGGTCTAAATGTATTTGTCTGTATTTATATATTCTGTGGAAGGCGTAGAATCAAGAAATGTTCGCCCAATCAAAACGCTTGGTCCGAGCGTTTTAATATGCTTTTCTACCTGCCTGTCAATGTATGTATTAGCACCGGGTTCGCGCAGACAGGATACGTCATCAGCGCGTTCACGCACGCTGTGCAGACAGAGCGAGGATGGCAGGCAAACATCAACAACCCGATCTTTCTTCCTGGTATTGTAGTACTTTTAAAGATTTCTCACTGGTGAATGACACGATGTAGCCCAGCGGTTAATCTAGTCCTCGCGCCAGCTCGTTAGAAGTGAGCCACATGCATGAACTGTGATCCGATCTATATGATCCCTACACAGTGTTCATTGCTCCCTACTCCCTGAGCGGGGGAAATCCGTTGAAGTTTACTTCACTTCAGAACATGGGCTGGAATTGGGAACCTGATGTAGCCTATTGTAGTAATGTTGTCTCTGGTCTGTGAGTGTAATGGCAGTCCACTTTGGCGACTTCAACATTCATCTGGACAAGCCTTATGCTACAGACTTCCATTCACTCCTTGCTTCATTTCTTCATTTGA